AAAAGGGAACAAAAAAGAGGAAGAAGAAAAGAAAAGGGTGAAAAGAACGGGAGATCAGTTCCGGTTAATCCCGCCAACAACGTGTGGATCGGGGTGGGGGCCGAAAGGCCCTTGCCCCCCAACCCCCTCGGCAAACCTTAAGGAGGAGAGAAAGGGAAAGAAGAAAAAAGAGAAAGAAGAAAAGGGGGGCACTGGCGTACTGATAGGGGGGGGGGTTTGGGGAATTCAAATTCAAATGTGTGCTTTATTTCTAATTCCATAACGGTGGTTTACAAATAATGCTGAATTCTTTCCGAGATTTTTCCTCAGTTTTTAGTAAATTATACTTTTCTATGCGTTTGTTGGAAAATGACAAATTCCTAAATTTACAGCCAGGCAAGAAATATGATTCTTGAGAAAAGTTAGGGCCCGGGGATCGGCAAGCCTCTCCCCCCCCCCCCCCCCCCCCCCCCCCCCCCCCCCTCCTCCACTTTTTTTTGTGAAAAGGTATAGTAAAGAGAAATAGAAATAAAGAGAGCAAGAAAGAAAGAATAGTTAACTAGCTGCTCATCTGACCGAAATTAAACGCCTAAACCCCCTGAGCTTCCGGGGTTCCGTCCCTTGCACCCCGCCTAGGGCCCTAGACTCCCCTGGATGCTAATCTGACGGAAATGTAATGCCTAAAACCCCTGTTTTCTGGGGGCTTCGCCCGCTGGACCTCACGCCAATTAGTGTCCTGCCAGTGTCACAAATAAGGTATCAAAATTTGTTTATCTGACCGCAGGCGCGTAGCCAGGGGGGGGGGGGGGGTAGAAAAAAAATTGAGAGGAGAGGAAAGGAAGAGGAAGTAGGGAGAAAAAGGAGCAGACAAAAAACATCTTTGAAATTCAGACAAGAATTAAGAGTATAGAGAACGGTGCAACGAATCGTCTTCTATCTCTAATAATTTAATGAAATGTCAAAGCTTCCGCGCTTCGCGGAGGGGGGGGGGGGGACTGAATTAAGACAAGGATTAAGAGTATAGAGAACGGTACAACGAATCGTTTTCTTTCTTCAATGATTTAATGAAACGTAAAAGCTTCCGCGCCTCGCGCGAGAGGGGGGGGGCTGAATTAAGACAAGGATTAAGAGTCGAGAACGGTACAACAAATCGTTTTCTTTCGTCAATGATTTAATGAAACGTAAAAGTTTCCGCGCTTCGCGCGGGAGGGGAAAATTGCATTCAAACGAGGATAATTTTCGAGAACGCTATAACGAATCGTCTTCTTTCGATAATAGTTTAATGAAACGTCAAAGCTTCCGCGCTGCGCGGAGGGGGGGGGGGGCTGAATTTAGAGAAGGATTAAGAGTCGAGAACGGTACAACGAATTGTCTTCTTTCTCTAATACTATAATGAAACCTCATATATAGCTTTCGCGCTTTGCAGAGGGGGGAGGGGGAAACTCGCCCTCCCTACATCCCCCTGCATTACGTCACTGCTGGTCACCATTACGTACCAATATTTGGCTCGCATAATTTCAAATTTGGGCCCCCCCCCTAAGAAATCCTGGATCCGCGCCTGCGGATAATTCATTGATATTTTATTGGTTGAGCAAAGTTTTAAATTGGGGGAGCTTTCACAAGCCTCCCCCTCCCCCTTCCCCCCACCAATTTAAAGAAGAGGTTAAGTCGAGATTTTTCTTCCTTTCTATCTTTAGGCTTGGGAGATGGAACTTGATGAGCTTGCTTGTAATGAAGACCTCATCTCTTGTCATATTATTTCTTATTATTAATACAGATAATGATATGCCTTACATATATAGTGCATATCAAAAACATGTCTCTACAGTGTACAGGGTGTATGCACTGCAATGGAGAGAAGGAAACAAATTATAGATGAGTGAGATACACTCAGCATACTTCCTTAAGTCATTAGTTACCATTGGAAGTTCTAATAAGAAATTTTTTAAAGCCCCACTGTTCTACTTGTAGCTACTTGCTCCCTCTATATACATTGTAGAAAACTTCCCTAATCGGTGCCTGTTGGTCCCCCATGATCCTCTATTTCTTGTACCAGAATTTCTTCAATATAAGAAAGAGAGAGAGAGATTCGTTTGAAAGGGAACTTGTGACAAGCCGTACATCAGGATTTTGGATTCTTTCAATTTGGTTCAATTGAGTATCACTATCAGGCCGATTGTAAAGAAGGGCATTACAGGTATCTATCAATGTGGCACATAACAAGGCTTTGTATGAACTAGTCTTTCTGTCCATTTCTCATCTAAAATAACATCTGATTTGCCCTATAAAGAGGCTACATTGAAAATCTTACTTTCACATGTACGTGATCAATCATTAACAATTTCTGATTTCAAATAACACCAAGACTTTGGACACAGTCTGCTGGTCTTAAAGACCGTCAATACTACTGGCCAGAAGGGATTAGACCACCCAGCCAGGTCACTGACAGGTGGCTATCTCATCAATTCCGCTCTCAACTAACATAAGAAAAAGAGGATCATGGGGGACCAACAGGCACTGATTGGGGAAGTTTTCTATATAGAGGGAGCAAGTAGCTACAGGTAGGACAGTGGGGCTTTAACACATGGCTCTCAAATGATATTGAAGGGCATTCAGTCTGGCGAGACCGCGAGGATAATTAAGAAACAGGAAGTTATTGTATGACGAGGCTCTGACATCATGCGGACATTTTCTCACAGCTTCAAGACACAAACGTTTGAACAGGCACAGTGAAAAAAAATACACTGGGGCGAAGTAGCCCCCAAATTGCCCAAAAGAGCCCCGAAAAATTTGCATAGAGTTCAATGCAAAACAAATTAAAGAGTGTTATTTTCATTCAAGCAAGCTTGAAAAGTAGCCCCCGAAATTTTTAAAGTACCGGTATTTTTTTCCCTGATTTACAGGCAATAACTTGCATCTGCTTATCGTCTGTATACCATTGTTGATAGCCTTGAGCATTAATTACTTTTTCCAAGTAAAGTGTACAGGTATTTATAAGGCCTGCATGAACACAGAGCCTTTATGGGACGACCTCACTTAAAGATGTAGCTGCAGACTCTTCAGTATCTACCATAACAGATTGTGATCTGGGACCGTTTCACAAAACTTGTCATCAGTGACAAAATGACAGTCTTCGTTATAAGCTACTGAAATCCTTGCTTCTGATTGGTTATCAGCAGATTTGTCACTGATTTTTGTCATTTGTCAATGAAAAAAGGCTTTGTGAAACGGGTCCCTGCTTAATTGTAAAACATGAATGTACCCAGTTAAGTGCACTATACCGTTCTTGAATTATCATTGAACCAAGATAGCATTGTTTATGGTATCTAAAGCTGGTGTATAGGTAGTCTAATATTGATAAGAATAATGTCAAAGATAAAGCAAGCTGCTTATCCTTGGCCTTTTTTTCAAGTCTGTTGTTCTTTGCATGTCCTTATCATTATGCAAATATGGATCCCATGCAGGATGACGTAGCACCAGATACTCTTTTCGCACTTGTTTTGCTTATAAAGGTAAAGATCAGTTCTGGTCATGCGATTGCATCGTGATAGAAATGTTGTGGAATCGATCAGAAAAGGTAAGTTGATCATTGCTGCAAGGTTCTGGAATTGTAAAAATCAGAAATTTGGCCCAGTCTTGGTAAAGTTACAAGCACTGTACACAGAAAGATGTAAATGGGACTACGCAACAAGTGCGTGACACGTGCGCGATATCTGTCAGGTCCAAATAGATATAATAATTTACCAAATATATCAATTAGTAGGTGGTTTCTCGGCAAAATTTGTATCATGTATTAGTCAAAACATATCGGAAATATAGTTACAAAGTCACATGACCTTTTTTCTTTGCATGTCAGCATGAAAATCGCTATTCTTTCACATGATTGGTAATAAGAGCTTCAATTTTATTTTTTGTGAGGGGTACGTTTTCAAAACTGGTCTTTACCTTTAACCCCGGAATTTGCTTAGCCCCGTACTATCCTTAACCCCGTACTAACTTTTTTGGTTATAATCTGGAGTTTAGCAAATTTTTGCCAGTGTGAAAAGAAAGTGGAATAAGCTTAACCCCGGACTATAGGTGGGGCTGAGACCCCCCTTTAAAACAGTATTACAAGTGCAGTGTAGGCTGTTTGCTTGATGGTTCCAGGATAGAAATGGAGGTTTCTGCAAATGAGGGATAGCCAGGACGCAGTTTGCCTTTTGGGTGGTTTTGGTATCGTGTTTCTCGCACTTAAGGTGCTCAGTGATTGTGACTCTCAAGTATCGAGTGTCTTAGACATATTGCACAATATGGCCACTGAGTCAATAGGAAATGATCACAGGATCTGTGATCATGAATTTCGCTGGTGCCACGGTTTGGAGGGCTAAGCTAGGGGCGGGAGCAGCCGAGGGAAGTCATTAAATACCAGTCCCAATTTAAAGCCACAACCTGGGATAAAACTAATTCCAATCAAGCAGTTACATGTATGCTTGGCCCAGGGACATACATGTACAGTACATACATGTATGCAAACGTCTTATTTCTACAACTTACCGGTATACACACATTGATATGATTGCCTAAGTCAACGCATTTCACATAGCCGGCCTGTCAAGGTTGACTTACATGTACCTCGTGAGGTTGACTGCATATACATGTACTCGTAGTCTCCCATGTTGGATGTGTCTCTCATTCGACTAGTCGTACAATGTAGTTGTACAATGTCGAAGCATCATCATCATCATTTTTAAGAGAGCACTGAAAACTCACCTTTTTTGATGAATGCTTCGAGTACCGTAATTATTATGTAAACGTACATTGTAAAGCCCTTTGAGAGGGCCTTCGGTCCTGAAATGCGCTATAGAACAAACTATTATTATTATTGTTATTATTAATATTATAATTTCATGATGATGATGATGATGATGATGATGATGATGATGTTAATAATGATAGTGATTATTACATGTATTGCTATAATCAATAGTAACTTAGCATCATATAATAATCACAATTTCTCTTTCCCTTTTCTCTCTTTCTAGTTCTTACTGCTGAAGTGGTAGAGGAAGAGAACTGTTTGTGAGAGGACCATTACCCATTGACTCTATCGCCCAATGAACACAACACTAGCTCCAAGTATGTGGACTATGGACTCCTTAGGCTGGCTCTATGAAGGAGTCGATCCCAAGTTTGCAGGGAATGGAGGACCAGAATGCAACAACTTCTTGAGCGTAAAGCAAAGAGTGATTGAGACGATCATCTTTGTAGCTCTAGGTTCACTGGAATGTTGGTTTGCATGGCAGCGGCTTGGAGTATCAGATCCACACTTTCAGGTGGAACCAAGAGATAAGGGTGAACGATTTGGAAAGCGTTTTCTCTTGGTAATTCTCTGTTTGACATTTGGAGTTGAGATAGGATTCAAATTTGCGTCAAAGACTGTTATATACCTGCTCAATCCATGCCATATGCTGACAGTAGTACAGGTAAGATACCAAGCCGGACTCCTAGATACTTCAACGATAGACGCTAGACCTAACATTTCACCCATCCTAAAATCCAGTTGTACTCGGATAACCCTATATGTCACAAGATCAGCATATATCAAATATCACTGGCACAAGTCTTATCACTGGTCAGAAAATCATACCTGTCTTGTAGGTGGTACATGTATATTCCATGACAGCCATGGAACCTCCAGTAATGTACATTTACTTTTTGTTTTCCTTTTCAAATTATCCCCATAGTAACCAACAATGTCAAAAGACACTCGTGTTTGTGAATTATACATGATTTTTTCTTAAAGTTGTCCAACTTTAATTTATTTTGCAATGCAAGTTCATTACATGTACAGTGTACATGTACATGAAAATTGAAAAGTATAGATTAAAGGTAATACAAAGTTTTGGGAAATTTTGAAAATTGAGTGGATAGTGATTCTTTACAATTTTGATATATTTGGATGCCCCTGTGGATGTACTATAAGCACTAGAAACTTTAGCTCCTGAAACACTTCTGCTTTTGAGTAAAATTAAATATAAAAATTTACCGGTGCTCCTGGTAAATTTTGATAAATTTCAAATAGCGCCTACGGCCATACAATGGTAGCTGCGACCATGAAAATCTCAAAATATGTAGTTGTGCTATATACATGTAGTTTCCAAACGGGAATAGCCAATTGGTCGATTTTAGTCAAGAAACCTTGTTTTATAGCTTAATTGATATCTTGACCTTGAGAGGGAGCTATACAACATAAAGAGTGTATTATTTACAATTTTATAACCTTAGACTCGATTTCAACCGCGACAACGATCACTGAATATTGTAGGATCGCATATGCTTCCAATATGTTCATTTGAACCAAATTCATGACCCCATACCAAAACTTTGTATTACCTTTAAACATTTTATCGAGTCCATCTCATTGTTTTCCTTCTTGTGGAGTTACATTTTATTGTAATTATGCGTTTATTATCTCTTTCTCTCATATTGAATTGTTCCCTGAATATTGGCACACATGTCTGTTTACCATTATTTTTGTTTAACATGAATTAATATATATCCATCTTCCCCTCAGATTTACTTACTTGCCGCCCCACCCAGCAAGCTAGTACGGGTAGTCTTCAGGATGCAGATGGCTTCATTGAGTTGCCCTTTACTAGCCCTACTCTTGCCAGTAGTCAATACAAGATTGGTAAGCTTTGAGTTGTCCTTTACTAGCCTGTAGGATGGTGTAATATTGAAGCCCTAACTGAAACTGTTAGGAAAAGACAACATTTGATTTTGATGTCTAATCATAAATATCTTGATAATCATACAGGCGATTGGCTTGTGAATGTCCTGGGATTCCTGTATGCCCTAAAGGTTTATAATTATGATTGCAGCTTGAGCTAAATCAAGGATTTTTTTGAAAGATCTGAGACAAAGTTATCCCTTTAAAGTAATCTTGTAGATGCAGATAAGCACAATGCATTTCCTCATTTATTGAATGACATGTTAACACTGTGTGAAGTCTTTTATTGAGTTCTTTGAGGAAGTGTTCATGTACATGGAAGTAGTAGCATTTTAAAGGTAAAGACCAGTATTGGAAACGCCCCAATTTCAAAAAAATGAAATGGAAGCTCTCATTACCTATCATGTGAAAGAATATGTTTGGACTAATACATGATGATAAAAAATTTGCCGGGAAACCGCCTACTAATTCATATATTTGGTAAATTTGTTTCTCTCATGGTCTGTGAGAGATATAGGGTAGTCCCATATACATCTTTCTGTGTATAGTGCTTGTAACTTTACGAAGAATGGGCCAAATTTCTTATCATTTTGACGATTCCACAACGTTTCTTTCACAATGCAATCGCATGACCATAACTGGTCTTTATCTTTAATATCATCTGGGGGTGTTTCACAAAGACTAAGATCAATTTTAAGTTGGACTTTAATATGACAGGCCATTCATGCCACTGGTTGCTCTCACTATTGGTCTCTCAATTATGATCTTAGGATAATATTTTTTCCTTCAATAATGAACCATCAGAAAATCTAAATTCTGTATATTTGTGACCATGATTTCTCATCCCTTGAGAGACCAATGCCAATAAATGATGAGAGCAAACAGTGGCATGAACGACCTGCCATAGTTAAGTCCAACTTATAGTCGATCTTAGTCTTTGTGAAACACTCCCCTGCTGTTTTAAACATTATTATTGATCGATTCCTCATACAATAGACAACAAGGAAATCATTCTCAGATTTAAGGAAGATGGTTACCTGTAGTCATAATCAAGTGTTGATTAACAGGTTTACAATCACTGTTCAACCTGCTTGGCAAACATTTGTCCTGTGCTGTGCTGCCATCAAGAGAATGAAACCCTTTATTGTGTGTGTAGAAAATCTCATTCACATGTGTCATTACTATACTTTACACTACTCTCACTTCATTGAAACAAATACAAACTTTCCACTGATTGCAACAGAAAATATATTCTTTTTGTTGGTACTGGTATTTTTAAAAATGCCTGTAATAACATGTTATAACATGTAAATGTTTCTTTTAACATCTTAAGTGGTAGAAAGTATTGAAATATACTAAAATAAATTGCCATTTATACCCCCCCCCCCCCATTTCCAAGAACAATTATATTTTTGCAAACTCTTTCAAGTTTTTTCAATGAAAGAGCGAATAAAAGATGGGTAAAGTTTGAGCTTGTACCAAACATTCAACACAGTAATTGACACATGTGAAATACATGTAGTTTAACAGCTTGTTTTGTACATGTAGTACAGGTTTGCAATCATGTAATCAAGAAACAGCATGTTACATTGAACAGATATTGGTACAAAAACTTTAAAATATTTAAGATTCCAATGAACTTTACACTGAATGTTGAATAACACAGAGACCAATTATACAATGTATATATATTTTTTTACTGAATCTCATTCCGTTTATGTTATGCAATGTAACAATCTATTGATATTAAATCTCATTCCATTCATCTATAAAAAGAAATTGCTTATAACTTTTAAATCTTACATTATGCATGTTTATGTTTGTTTTTTCAGCTACCATTTGAAGCAGAAATCTATTGGATACAGCATTTAATGATATACCTCATTATTCCGCCCTACCTACTAAGTTTAGGAGGTAAGTTTACAGAGTAGAGAAAGGGAGGGAGAATCAGGGAAAAGAGAGAGAGAGATCAGAGAGACAGAGGAATCAAATACACATATTGTCACCTTCTTAAAATAATGGCCTCAGTCACATTTTGAAGAAAAAAATATTTTTGCCCAATTAATCTCTTCATGAGGCTATCCACCTTTGTTAAATGGCATACTGTAAATCTCTGTGTATTAAAGACGCACCTGTGTAAAAGACTCACTCTATTTTTAGGACCAAGACCCCTTCCCCCAAAACCCAACAAATCTGTATGTAGGTGAAATGTGGAAGGTCATAAAGATCAATTTTTCCATGAAATCTCAGGGTTCTAGCCCTGTTTAGTCAATGTACCGTATGTGATTTGAGCCATAAAGTTCAAACTTGATATTATTAGTGTACATCACCATAGTGAGACAAATCAATTAGATTTGGGTTGAAAGGGGGTCAAATGTCAAAGAATAGCAAGTCTATTAACATTCAATTAAAGTTTTATAAACCTTGTTATGTCCTAATCAATGACTACATTCAGCTACGTGTATTCAAGCTGTGAACTTAAAACCTGCCACTAGTATGCATCATTGTAGGGGGGAAAGTGATCAGATTTCAGGATTGCGGGGTCAAAAGTCAAAGTTCAAAGGTCGTAAAACTGAATTGACATGTAACTATAGGTTTCTTGTTCTCATTGTGATATTCCAAGTCATTTAATTTAAGCCCGGATCTTAAGTGAAATTTACAGGCGGAGACACATATTGCAGACACAGTCGCATTTGTCTGGTTTAAAATACTCAAATTGAAACAAAGATAGTCTTATCTGTTGTACTTTATTGACAGTAAATTGATAAATAGTGAAGGTGCTTTGGATGGCAATCATGACATTCAATTAATTAATTAATTTTGCCAAGCAATAAAAAACATACAGGGTAAAAAAGCAGTATACAGAGTATCACACAATTACAATTACCAACATAGATAAACACAGAAAGACACAGAATCAATTTACAAACATGAACACAAAAACACAAGGGAAATTGCTTACCGGTAGGCTGGTAGCAGCCAGAAAGGAGGTGGTCCTATAGGCGGCTGACCAAATAATCATATATAAAAAGCCTTATGAATTAATTTAAAGGGATCGTTTAACAATGTTAAATCTGAGATACACGGCCCTACGTGTTATCAGTGTCTGGGATATGGTGTAATATTGAAGCCCTAAAAAAATTGCACTTCAAAATGATCAAGAAGTGCCTCAAAAAAGTAAAAATCTTTAAGTGACCGGTTTTACCATACTCGTTTTCCCCAATAGACTGTAGTGTTATGAAAACCGTCAGGCGAACGGTTTTCAAAATTTGTAATTCCAATCATAAATATCTTGATAATCAGACAGGCGATCGGCTTGTAAAAGTAATGGGGCTCCTGACTGACCTAAAGGTTTATAATTATCATTGCATCATGAGCTAAATCCAGAATTTTATTTCAGAATCTGAGACAAAGTTACCGGATCCCTTTAAGCTATAATAACAAGTAAAACAAATAACATTGATTGATGTAATATTTGTCCTGATCTCTTAGGCGTCTATAAGACAGAGGGTATATGGGACTTTTCATGGTGTTGGTTTACAGCTGGCTTTCTTCATAATTATCATTTCATCTGCCTCCAAGGTTTAGGTCTGGTAAGTAGACTATTACATTGTAAATCTGTGAAGCTCTTTTACCAACAAGAATCTCATTATTATCATGTTAGAATTAAATCAGAGTTAAAGGCATTTTTTAAGAATCAGGCCTGATAGTTACCTGTTTTCCTGATTTTTAAAAATATTTTTCCCCCCTGATTTTAAAAATATTTTTTCCCTGATTTTTTTTTCTTCCTGATTTTACCCCGATTTTACCCCAATTTCCTTACTCCAAAGGGGTGGGGGGTAGAGTAAAGATCTTTGAGCGATTAGTTTTACCATACTCATTATCCCCGATAGACTAGTGTTATAAAAAACTGTTGTGAAAACAGATTTTGACATTCTAATTCCAATAATAAATATCTTGATAATCAGATAGGCGATCGGCTTGTAAAAGTCATGGGATTCCTGACTGACCTAAAGGTTTCTAATTACCATTGCAGCATGAGCTAAATCCAGGATTTTGTTTAGAATCTGAGGCAAAGATACCCAATCCCTTTAAGATTTATGAATTTGCTTTCCCTCTAATAGCAGTACAATTGTATTATCACGTACCTATCTTCAACAAAATAATATTGACCCGTTTTTTACTGTTATTTTTCTTGTCCTTTCAGTTGACAGAAGTGAATCTGAATGCGATGGTTTGCCCTGCCCCTAGCGATCCATTCTTTGGTCCTTTCTACCGGGTTTGTGGCTTCACACATCAACACCTTCTCTTTCCTCTGCACATTAAAGCATACACCTATGTGGCTAAGAGTCTTGTATTAAGAGACCAAGAAGAAGAATGTAATGGCCATGTTGGCGGCATGATGAAGGAGGATTGAAGTATGGCCAATAAGTTATCATTAGACAAACAGGAAGCTTGCAGATTACAATCGTATAGGTTGAAGGTCAACTGCTTCTCGGCCAATAACCCTGCATCCTACTAACACGAACTTATTTGTTTCACACCATTTTAAAACAGAAGTGATGCTGCTGATGCTGATACAGTCAAACCTGTCTATAGCGACCACCCAAGGGAAGCACAAAAAGTGGCCTTTGTAGACAGGTTCCTTTAGTACATAATTCAATGAGAAACCATTTTCAAGGGAAACAACAAATGTGGCCTTTGTAGACAGGTGGTCTTTGTAGACCAGGTGTTCACTAAAGCAGGTTTGACTGTATTTATAATCATGTGCCTAAAAATATTCAGGAGAAGGTTAAATGATCGATTAAGAAAACACTTAATTCAGCCCACTTTCAAATTGAAAAGCCCACTGAACAATAGGATAGACGTTGTTCGTTCCAAAATGAAATACTGCATAGTATGCGTCTTTCTTACATGTTATAGTAAAGCTACAACTTTTTTTTCATATTGCTGCATTTTTTAAATTGAATCATGTCTGAAATGTAGAGGGAGGCAACAGATCAAACAGTTACAATGACGCTTGTGAAGGAAGAGATATAACTGACGAGGAGACGACAAAACAGGCACTGAAAATGTGTGCATTGTTATAGACAAATATGCTAATTCGGTCCCTTAGCTTGATATCACCAATCTTGGCAGTGTTCTAAAAGTTCTTCAAGTACAAAAGTGGGGCAGTATTTTTTAGGATTTTAAAATAGATGATTGTCTTAATATTTAATGTTTCCAGTCAGGGAATTGTGATAAACTTGTTTGATCTCTCCTTCCCTTATGCAATGATGTGAATTAAATCAATACATGTATTTAAAATCAATTAACCTCTACTTAACCCAATGTAAGTGAAGAAGGATGTGTTGTTCAACAATAGGGACTTTTAGATTTGCACGTCAACATAGTGGACTGCTACGTGTGATGTCCTTAATAAAAGGATTTCACAAGAAGGCGCGATAGCTCAGTCGGTAGAGCAGTGGTCCTGTAATCCGGTGACCCGGTTTTCGAAACCAAGTCGATGCGCTAGTGCCCTTTGGTAAGGCATTTATCCTCACTACCAGGTCCCTCAGAGAGGACCTAAAGCCGTCGGGCGTCTGGTTGCTTACTTACAAGCATTTATGCTTTTTTAGCAGTCGGGTAAAAAATAACCACCACCAACATAAGCACCACCAGTGCCTTATAAGGACGTCACACGTAGCAGTCCACTATGTCGACGTGCAAAAGGACGTCACACGTAGCAGTCCACTATGTCGACGTGCAAAACGACGTCACACGTAGCAGTCCACTATGTCGACGTGCAAAAGGATGTCACACGTAGCAGTCCACTATGTCGACATGCAAAAGGACGTCACACGTAGCAGTCCACTATGTCGACGTGCAAAAGGACGTCACACGTAGCAGTCCACTATGTCGACGTGCAAAAGGACGTCACACGTAGCAGTCCACTATGTCGACGTGCAAAAGGACGTCACACGTAGCAGTCCACTATGTCGACGTGCAAAAGGACGTCACACGTAGCAGTCCACTATGTCGACGTGCAAAAGGACGTCACACGTAGCAGTCCACTATGTCGACGTGCAAAACGACGTCACACGTAGCAGTCCATAATGATATGAAAAAGGAAGATTTAATGTATTTTCCAAGAGAGTTTACATGCCCATCTTATTACGTATGTATCATCTCCATGCTCAAGCCAAATAAAGTAGGCATTTGTGTATTTCATATAACTTTTATGACAATTACTTGTTTGATTTTGACATGCAGTTGTCCATGTGATGCTCTTTGATTATCACTTTTGCTGTAAATGTGCTCATAAATATTAGGGAATGTTATCCCTTTCACTTCATTTATAGTTTGTTGTAACTTGTGAAACAAAATTCATGCCTTTGCAATATGTTAATGTAATATTTTTTCTAGTTTAATAGGTACTATATTTTTAGGCTGAAAATGTATTGTGTTTTTACAGGGTGCATTTTGCCCTATGCCATGTAGCTTCAAATTGAGACTTAATGTTTTATAGCGTAAATATGATTTATAAATTAATTGCAAGTGTTGTTTAATAGTTGATATCCACTTGTCACTTTCAATCAAAAGGTTTGAATCCCAATCCAGAACTAATAATAATAATAATAATAACGTTTTATTTACCCAGGGTCAAGGGTTGTGAAACTGCTCTTCCACCGGGCCCTGCATAACATAATATGTTATTACTACCCTTCTCCAATCTATTATGCCGAGCGCCTAGCTAGAAGGAAGAAGGTCCCATTGTTATAAGTCTTTGGAATGACTCGGCCAGGGTTCGAACCCACGACCTCCCGTTCATGAGGTGGGCGCTCTAACCACTGAGCCACCGTGCTTTGACAAGACTGTATAAATCAATGCTTGCCACTCTCTACCCAGGTGATACCCATTGTGCCAGAGCACTACATAATTGACCACTATGGAATGCTCCCCAGGGAGTGGAGAATGTGCACACATTGTGTGCGGGTAGGCCTGAATCAGATGACCGGGGTAATGATATACCGGGTATCTGTAAAGCGCTTAGATACGTCATTGTATGGGGGTATTGGGCACTATATAATAGCGGAATATCATTATTATTATTATTATTATTATGGCACGGGTAATGATTCTAGGAGTGTCATGGTGTAACACTAGGGCTAACCCGTTGTTTGCATTGCCTAAGCCATGCACAATTGACACAAAAGCTGGATGGCTCATTAAAAAAAAGGCATGAGATCGGAATTACCCTTTGATTTTGTATAACAAAGTGTAATCGCGGCTACAGTGTATGTGATATAACAGATACTGGGGGCGTAATGTATATTATACACCCTACAAGTCAGTACCTGAATATATCTTCATATCGGGGTTATGATTAAAAAAAATAAAAACATAATTTGTTATGAATTGGAAGACCATGTCTTTAACTATTGTAGCTTTTTTGCCCCTCAACAAGTTTCTCATTCCTTGTTGTAATAGAACAAAGAGACCACTTGCATATGAATACCACCATCTGTCCTATCTTGAATGATGGCTGTGTACATTCATGTGAAGATCATGTATCAGGTGTACTTGTCTTGCATTCCGAGTCATTTTTCAGACAATTCTTTTTCCTCTTAATACTTTTATGTTGAGCAAGGCTTTTACTTTGTTGCAGAGAAAGTTTTTGATATAAAATTGGATCTATAAATGTGTATCAATATTTAATTATAATAACTTGTATTTATGAATAGATGGCTAATTATATATTGTTTTGTCCTGCAGATTGTTAATATATTACATGACAAATATTAAGATCCTGTAAAGTTTACAACTATTCACAGGTAGATATATAGGAGATAGACATAGTTGTAAAATAAATGTTTATGATTTGAAGTGACTACTAGGTAGGTAGAAATTTTGTTTTCCTATTGACAAACATCTTGATGCAGGCCTAGCAAGTTTATGAAGCCAAACCTGGAAATCATTCTTCCATTCATGTACTTAATGTGAATTTTCTTTAGAATGTGCTGTTTCAGCACTTTTTCTGTTATTTCATGTATGGTTATTATTTTATTTGTTCAATGTCATGTTATGATTTGTTGTTATATTGCATATTATTGTAAGCGCTGTGATATAGTGTACTATGAATAGCGTAGCTAAATGCCTAATAATGATAATATGGTATGTTTTCTTTTTTCTCATTTAAAAAGAATAATCAATTTTTGTTTACCCTGCAACAAAATATAAGGCTTTAAAATGTTTTTTGTGTGTAATTGTTCTTACCATTTCTTCATTTGTCATTGTATAGATAAAGTTATAAACCATTAGCTAAGATAAAAAATATTTTTGCATTTGAATATATATGTTCAATATCCATGTAGCTTGGATAGAATACCATAGATTCATTCAATATTTCACCTTTAACCTCGTAGGTAAGGTATGATTATCTTTAATTCCTCAGATAGGACTAGATAATTTAATTTTGAGTGTTTGTTACAAATATAGAATTTCTTTTAATTATACAGTAGGCTTGCGGGTGCAACATGTGAGAGAGAGGGAGGATTGAGGAGTCCTGAAAAAGAACTCTCTGTAATTTTTCTTGAGGGTGTGTATCTTTTTATTAATCATGAATATAGATGGTGACAGAAATTGGACAGTATGAAATATTGTGAAGATGTCCAGGATTTCTTTGTATTGTAGTTAAGTAATCTTGGAAAGCTGTTTGGAAAGTGCATAGAGCAGTTTTAATTGATTATGTAACAGTTTATTATTATTATAACTGTATATGAATACAATGATTTTTATACTGACAGTTGTGTTATTTGAAGCAAATTGTTCGGAAAGAGCGAATACATTGGTTATGTGTCATGAGCTATTACATTCTTTTTTGTTTTATGTATATGCCAAATCTAGAAAAATTAGCTGCATACATCGTAAAATATGAAAAACGATGTTAATACAAATTTTATTTTTGGGATTATTTGATGGTATGTACTATTGTACATATCATCAGGTTTTTAAATTTCTTTCTTTCTATTCATTTCAAGAATGGCAATTGCATTTTCGTTCAAAGATTTAAGGCGCAATGGTAGACCTCATAATATCATCATGCAATTTAATGTAATATTTTCTATCTTTAATTGATGAAGTCATATGCTCTTTTCACAGTCAGTGTATGTCTTGCTTGTTTCTACTTGATTTTCTTCCAAATGTTAGTATGTTGGAGTTGATAGTTTGTGCTCAGACAAGAATTGTACCCTTTACTTTTCATTTAGACAATGGGATCATAGTTATATTTTTTAAGTTAAAGGTACAATCCAAAATTTGCAGTGGTGCTTAGTGAGAGCTGCGGACTTAATTACTCTATTGAACAAACGTTGATGTCCTACAGTATATTAAGAATAAAGGTTGATATTACATCATGACAGTAAACACAATGGCACGTATGACAGTACTTCATTATAATCTTGAAACAAGTACATAGTAGTATCCCCTATACTTGTATAGTTACAAATATACTCCTAGTATTATTATTGTCTTTACTACTTTCATTATAATTGTTATAATTATTATTGTTGTTTTTGTTACCATCATCATCATCATGGTAATCAAATCATAACCAGCTACTTTTATGTAGAAAAAAAAACAGAAAAAACAACAACATACAAATAACATAACGAAAGATAAACACAAAATACAATTATATTTATGAATGAGGAACCGGCAAGAAAGAACATTAAAGTCTTACACTGTGCTGGTCCCTTGCGACATAAAGAATTTTACCTTTTAACACTTAACACCTTACACCTAACATTTAACACCTGATTGCATATATGTACAAATCTAGATCTGATGGCTCCATGTTGCATTAAAGATTGGACAAATATTAATGGGTAGAGAGTTGCTTTGCGACATCCAATAATAAGATCTATTAAGCAATGGTTGCTATTATGATTGTGTTCTACCTCTAATATGGACCGTAGACAAATTAACATTACCTTAGAATATTAAAATGCTTTATATCTATGTTTGTATAAGTTCATGCAATATACCGGTATCCAGATATGTTTAGATGTGGTTGATTATTATTTACCTTGAAACATTATTACAATCATAAAATCTGGCAAAAGAAATGTATGTGTTAATGCGCTTTTTTTCCATTTATAGCTCGTTGTTTGCCACCATTTTGATGATCTCGAGTACATTTTGTATCGTGCACCTTACGTTGACCATCTTTGGGTCACTCCAGCATCCCAATATAAATTGGAAGAAAGTGCAATTGTATTTTAAATTATATGAATAATAAATAATATATTAATGTTATTTGCATCATTTTCATTTTATAGGTTATACCATTGACATGTATTCTTCGAGGTTGAAACATTATTTTGTTCAAGTATAGATTTAAATTGAGCAAGTATATGTACGCTCACTGTATTTAAAGTTTGTTTTGTCATTTCGTGCCCATTCGCTGTAGCTTTTGTGTTATTTTTGTCATGCATTGTCATGAACATGTAAACATTTATCAGGTATATCTTATGCTTTACCATTGATTTCTTATGACATAATGTGACCAATATTGGTACATGTGTTAATAAACATCACGAGAAAGTGATTTCACTATATTTCTGATTTCTTTCTTCCCCGTGTGTTTATTGACCTCTGACCTGCTGATCACCTGCACCCCTACAGTTTCCAAGTGTCATGTCCGTTCACAGAAGGTTAAACCATTACCACGCACAAACAACAAGGCAGCCGACCAAATGCTCATTCTCATACGCAGGATCAGCCATCTGGGGGCGTTTCACAACATCCCAGTCCGTCTATGTAACACAGAAGAAACTTTCAAAAAGAAGCTCAAAACCCAACCCTTCTTTACACGTAATTCGGTCAAGTTTGTATTGCCGCTGTGAGATTCGTTGTATCAGCGCTCTGATCATGCAGGATCAGCGCTCTGAACATGCAGGATCAGTATTCTGTAAAAGCGCTTACTAATGAGAATAAATTATTACAAATTTAAAAAAAATTATTAATAAATGCATCCATGGTCTGGCTCCTCCCTACCTATATGAGCTTGTAACTATCCGGCAACCGTCCCGCTACTCCCTTCGCTCCTCTCACGCTGAACTATCCATCTCCCAAGATGCTACCGGCACACTGCTGCTCCAAAACTGGAATAATTCACTCCCCGATTTCTTAGCAACCAGCAATCTCTCAATACCTTTAAAAAATATCTCAAAACCCACCTCTTCCATAATATATTTGTGAAGCACATTTGAACATGTATGGAAAACACGCTATACAAATACATCATTACCATTATCATTATCTATCTGGTGTTGATTTCTTAGAATGAGCGTAATCTATACCGATACAATTCTGTGGTCTGATCCAATGCTTGTGAATCTTTCGTTTGCTTCTACCGATATATTAGGCCTATAAAACAAAAAGATGTTGTATTGCCCTTAGGTCAGAAATCTTTTTTTTCTTCTTCTTCCTCTTTGGGCTGCCTTAGTTTTGAATGCCTTGATACATGTTTTTTCAATTTTTTTTCTCTAAAAATGGTAAAAAATAAAAAACTTTTTTAAAGCCCCACTGTCCTACTTGCTCCCTCTATATAGAAAACTTCCCCAATCGGTGCCTGTTGGTCCCCTAAGATCCTCTTTTTCTTATGTTAGTTGAGAGCTGCGTTAATGAGATAGCCACCTGTCAGTGACCTCGCTGTGTGGTCTAATCCCTTCTGGCCCAGTAGTATTGATGGTCTTTAAAAGCCGACCGTTGATTTCAAGATTTGGGGTCGGTCACAAAGGGGAATACAACATCTTTTTTGTCATGACGCCTTAATGATGCTCTTCATTCATCTTTGCCCCATAACATAAACAAATATTCAATGCACACAAAGTGAGTACAATATTGGTGATCACATTCTTTAATTGGAGTTGTGTACATGTTGAAAATATGAAAGACTGATACAGAATTACTCATCTCCTTGCATCTCAATTAACTCACATGATGGTGCATACAAAATCACATAATATTGAGTACAAAATTATAACATGGGTTGCATCAGTATAATAAAAAAAGGAATCTAATCCAAAAATTAAGTTAGGTATTTCAGTGATAATCTTCATAAAAGTACTGATTCATACAGCATTGAAACGCTATACGTACATGTTATAATAGTCATTTTACTCTATTCACAGAAAATGAAATTGCTTTCTTGTTTCAGTATCAAGTATGGGTAATAAATACATGTCCATACATGCACAGACATTTGGTTTAATACAATTAAACTTCAATTTTGCAATGCTATAATATAAACTGTGGTGTAACATAACAATGTTAAACTCTTTCAAACAACTTCATGAGAAATTGTACCTGATTGCCAACAATACATTAACAGGTAGTTTAACTTCTACTAATCTTAATATTTAGTAGGCAAGCTCTCAATTTTCTCAAGCAAAGTGATTATTCACTGCACAGTTTCTTGCTGTCTGCTGCCTGGAGATCCTAGGAGCAAAGATGGGTGACAAGGAATAGTCCTATTCAGGGAAGGATCAATCCTTTTAAATCCAGACATATCCTTTAACATTTCTTGACCAGAAGTGCGTTTCAAACTCAATAATACGGGTATAGTAGATGACTAGGGCATCAGTGCCTTTAGACACACTTCTAGTCAAGAACGGTGAAAGATTCCATCAGGATAATAGGATTAATTTTTCACCGAATAGGGTCTCACTGTCACCCATCTTCGCTCCAATGATCTCAAGGCAGCAGACAGCAAGAAACTGGGAATTAATCACTTGATTGGAGTGGACAAAAGCTTGCCTACTAAATTTAAAGATTTTAAGTCCCCAACCAATGGAAGTTGTCTGTATTAATATATTATCTCTTGATCATTTCCTCTTCAAAATTCCAGAATTTTGCATTTTGCTGGAATATATATGCCATTCTAAACACTGATTTTAGAAGAAAAACAACAGGTTCAATACATGTAGAGGTACATAGTGTTTGTGATCTCTTGTATTTCATACAATGAGACAATACTTCCCTGTAACCTGAGTACATCTCATACTTTGATTGTCATATCATAATTTTCTCACATACATATTGACATAAAAACATCAACTTCCTTGATACAGCAATGTATTACACTTATAGAAGAAGGACCTTATATTCTTCATGATCTTTCAACTGTGTAATCCACAAGCTTGCATGTATTATTTTTAGACCTCTTATCAAGAAAGCACTGCATTCTTTTTTTATTTTTCTGTCTCTTCAAATTCTTCTTAACCCAAAATCACATATTACACAGATTGTGTATTATTTCACTACAGCTATAACACGTTCAGGCTGCAGCCCTGCAACTTTCTGGTCTACTGCCATTATTGTAAATCTGGAATGGTACATGATTAGACGATGGCAAGTTTAAATAACATTAAGTACATTGAGTATAAGTTTGATGTGCATGTGCATAAAGAGATATTGTGAGTCAATCGAATAAATATACTGTACATGTGTATTTCATGCATGAAATGAAATGCAACCCAATAGCATTTTTGTGTATGTGTAGTGCCTAGTGATAGTAAGTACATGGAGCTTAACTAAACAGCATACCGTACATATTCAGAAATGAATTGTAACCAAAAAGAGATCAATGATGATTCAAACTTAGTACTTGTGTGACAGGTCAGAATATTTAATATACATTTGTACATGTACAGTGAAACCTGTCTTTGAAGGCCGCTCAAGGGAGACAAGAATGGTGGTCTCTCTATATATATATATACACACTATGAATATGACTGACAAAGAAAGCGGACAAAATATACAGTTCCTGCTATTATGTAAAAAAATGTGTAGAACACGTGTCACATGCACATTCCCCTTTTTACATAATAGCAGTGAAGGGATGTTCCTTTATCTACCCGAGAAACTGTATATTTTGTCCGCTTTCTTTGTCCGTCATTTTCATAGTGACAGGTGGTAGCTAAAGCATGTTTGACTGTACATGTAGAACATGTTTCTTAAATTTTTTTTGTTGAGGAGGTCCCTGAATGAAGGGATCTATGTCTCTAAATAAGGAGACCCTTTAGTGTATACATCTGAGGAGATCTCTAAAATGGGAAGTCAACTTTGACCTTGGGTCAGAGAGGTTAGAGAGAAAGGACTTTCTTGCCACATCACAAGGTGAGAGGGATAAACACAGACCATCAACTCACTACTTAGGCACATGGAGGTGATTTTATATATAAAGTAACTTTGAACAGAACTTCAGAGGTCTAACTTCATCATTTGGTTGGAGATTATGGTGCACTAGCTAGTTGGTCTAATTCTAGTCTCAGTGTCTCCCTAGGAGTGTCTCCTCAAGAGCTCAAGAGGGGGTTGATCCACCCTCAATTAAATACCACAAAACTTGGAATGACTTCATTTTGAGTATCATTTGTGCCTGCTGTCACACTTGTTTTATGCTCATTCTCCTACTATTCCAGCAAACAATCCCTTTCAGATTAATCAGTTTCCAATGTGGAATATAAAGCAAATAATCACCTTTTGGTTTCTGGCGATGGCAAACTACCACTACCACTTTCTCTGTGATCTGAATGTATACGCTATCTTTCCTCAGCTTCACTTCAGAAAGATAGCTATACATCCAGATCGCCTCGGAAGTGATAGTTTGTCCCATCACCTTCACCAATTGTAATTATTTGCTTACTACAGTAGTGTCCAACCATTCTTGTCATCCTCCTTATCTTCCATAAAACTACCCCTGAGCTCTTCCAGGAAAGACTTTGTAGATTTAAAGCTCCGATCGGCCGTCCTGCTCACCAACTGGGCTAGAATCTTCTCCAGGACTTCCGATGTCCTCCGGTTAATGAACCCCTCCACATAAAGCACACCATCTCTCTTTGTTCTACGACGAGAGGGACGGATATAAAGGCGGGGCTTGATATTATTTTCCTCATCACCCTGCAGGTAGATATAACAATATACAACTTTGGAACAATCTTCCCCATGAAATACGTGAGTCCCCAACGTTAGAAACATTCAAGAGCAAACTTAAAGATAAAGACTAGTTATGGTCATGCGATTGCATTGTGAAAGAAACGTTGTGGAATCGATCAGAAAAGGTTGATCATCTAGCATTTAAGTATTGTTGTGTACTGCAAGGTTCTGGAATCATCAAAATGATAAGAAATTTGGTCCAGTCTTGGTAAAGTTACAAGCACTGTACACAGAAAGATGTATATGGGACTACGCACACGTGCATGACACGTGCGTTTATCTCTCACACACCAATAGATATTTACCAAATATATCAATTAATTAATTAATATCAATTTCCGGCAAATTTGTTATCATCATGTATTAGTCAAAACATATTCTTTCACATGATTGGTAATACGAGCTTCCATTTCATTTTTTGAAATAGGGGCGTTTCCAATACTGGTCTTTACCTTTAAGACTTATCTGTTCAATATGTAATGTAATGTAATCATATTTTGTTTGTTAAACTATAAAGCGTCTATTATTGTTGTATGATTATTATTACGAATTTGTTATTATAATTATGTATCATGTATTATATTGTTATAATTTGTAGGTTAACATTACTTTAATTTTTTGTTTGTTACGCGCTTTAAACTTTGTATTAAGCGCTATATAAATTAATTATATTATGATATTATTATACATGAATGAGGTAAGGAGAGAGAAATGTCAGAAAATTAAAGCCAGTTCTAATCCATTCTTAAAGATACTATGTCCCTTTTGCAGCCAACATCAAATTCTGTATAACTTTGCAGGAATTTTTAATATGTCCTATATGTCCTATCTGTGAAATTTAAATGTTAGCAGTGTCCTAATATTTAAATTATGCAAAGAAACACGTTTACTTGCTAGACTTCGCTGTCAGACACTATTGAGTTACTGACTGGCTTTTCTTCTTCTTTGGTAATAACATACATAAAATGAGCTGTAAAGGGTACAAGCATTTGTCTACATCAATAACCCACTTCTTGTAATGGCCAATATTAAATTGATTGAATCTTTGCGCAGCATAAAACGTATGGCCATTCAGTACAATGGTCTGAAAATCAGACGTTAACTTACTGGATCTATACATGTAGCTCTTAAGTCGATTCGACAAATACCGGTAATAGTCGTTATTTTTCCACTTAAAAGAATGATATTTTCAAGCCCCCTTTTTTTAAGGGAAGTTCTAAGATAGTATTATCTTTCAAATGCTGTTGGAATTTAACCTTTTCATTTTTTGGCCTGCAAATGGGACATAGTACCTTTAATGAGGCATTGTATAGTAAGTACATGTAGCAGGTACATACATTGACTGGTTGGAAAAGGAACATGATTAAAGGATTATATAAAATAAAGATATGTTTTGGAGGCAGATATATCCACATACAGTGTGGTGAAAAGCGGATAAAGATGATTATCAATCTTGAACCTTCACATGGCTGAGATAAAATGACTCTATAAGGCCTTTAAAGGAATCGTTTAACAATGTTAAATCTGAGATGCACGGCCCTACGTGTTATCAGTGTCTGTGATATGGTGTAATATTAAGCCCTAAAAAAAATTGCGCTTCAAAATGATCAAGAAGTGCCTCAAAAAAGTAAAAATCTTTGAGTGACCGGTTTTGCTATACTCGTTTTCCCCAAAATAGACTGTAGTGTTATGAAAACCGTTTGGCAAATGGTTTTCAAAATTTGTAATTACAATTATAAATATCTTGATAATCAGACAGGCGATTGACCCGTAAAAGTCATGGAGTTCCTGACTGACCTAAAGGTTTATAATTATCATTGCAGCATGAGCTAAATCCAGGAATTTGTTTCAGAATCTGAGACAAAGTTACCGGATCCCTTTAAAAAAAAAGATGTTGTAATGCCCTTAAGGTGCAAGAACCTGGGTCGGTAGGTCGGATTTCCTACTTTTTTCTTCTTCTTTTTTTCTCCCTCAAAACAGCGACCGTCGCTCCAAACCGGGAACGTCGCCCAAAACTTGCTGGTTTCTAGCTGGTGCATTGCATGGTATATACATGTAAACAAGGCCGGGGTCTACTTGTTTACGCTAGCAAGATTTCTTAACTAGGGCAGAAGACTAGTAAGAATTTGGGAATAATTTGATGATTTTATGCCTTTATATCTCATTTAAACAAACAAATACATTAACAACAAAAAAATTATTAAAAAGCCGACCATAGATTTAATTTTTTTTTGTACGCCTAATAATAAGGACTGCGTCAAGTACTAGGAAAGAAAACAAAGAGAGAGGGAGAGAGTTGTCAAACAAATGTGATGACATGTAACTTTGTAGTCTGATTACATTGTCAATTACATGTAGTATAATCATTTTTTTGAATTATGAAACAATAAGTCTTTTATGTATATTTTGTTATCTGTATTATATCTGCATGTGAAATGTGAAACCAATAAACTCAAACTCCAACTGAAATTGATGAGTTATAGTGAGTAAGAATCCTTGCATACACATGACGTGTTCAGTCACCTTGATCTGTATCTTTTTTTTTTACCTTGATCTGTATCTTGATGAAGGCACTGATCTGATCTCTATGCTCCTCCCAATCCTCTTCGGATGATTCCATCTTCTTCTTCAGGTCTGACTCACATATCTATCAAACAACAACAAGTACCATTATAAGACAGGTTCTAGAATGTAAGCCATATCCATCCGATTGCGGGTCAATTCATATCATGTGGGCGTGTAGTAGTTCTTCCAATCGTGCAAAACATCTCCCATCAAAAATTGATAACACAGTCACGCTTCTTCACGTCTGATTCACATATCTATCAAATAACAACAAATAGTACTAGTAGTAGCGTATTCAATGAAGCTGATTTACACTCTATCCTCATTCAACGTTCTACTCTGTATCCATCTGTATCTTATTGATGTTTATAATCTGTAATCTTGTACTGACATGCAAATGAAACAAATTTCCAATCATTGGACAATAAATTTGAATATGAATATGAATGAACTATCAGGATTTTTCCATTTCCACATTATTCTTCTTGAAAAATAATCATTTACTTTCACAAACTAATGTCAAAAGCTGTTTACTCCTGGCTGTAACTTAGAATGTAAGATATTCATAATTTAATAATAATAATAATAACAGTATTTATAAAGCGCAACATATCCATCTCTAGAGATGCTCAAGGCGCATACAAATAATTTAAGCATGTGAACTACTAATAAAAATCCTAAAACTGATATTTAACGCATGATTTCTCAAAAGCGCAATGTTCCAAGATGATTTTTTTTTCAAGGGCTTGTTTCTTTCGTCATAGTTGTACACACAAATAAACTATAAACCTGAGTTTGATTTATTACATCCCTTTGATTCCTATCACCACTGTGCATTAGCATGAAGTTAGAAGCACTCTCGAGGGAGGTATGTCTTCATCAGCTTGAGGTTGCCAAATAGCCTGCTATTTCTGATTTGGAAAATAAGCCCGAAGTTACAAATCGCGTCTTCATCAGCTCGAGACTCGACCTTGAAACTCAAAACTCGAACTCGGGATATTTTGCTGTGTTCGCGCATAGTGCGAGGCTTCGGGCTGGTAAAGACGCACTGGACAAATAGCAGGATATTTTGCAAACTAGCCAAAGATATCTTGGGATGATTATCTCGACCAAATATCCCCCTAATTGCAACTGCGGCCTGATAAAGACGAAAATTAGCTGGATAATTTGTGATCGGGATAGTTAAAAAAGTGGGTTATTTGGCAATCTGGAGCTGATGAAGACAGGCCTATAGAGGTGTACGTACCTCGGCTGATTGTTTGATGCTGAGTGGTAAGGATTGATCTAGATGATGTTTGAGACAGAGATGAAGACATTCAAAGGCCAGCTGATTGAGGGATAAACAAGCTGAATTGATGGCCTGAGAGTAAACAAAGTGAAAGGCATGTGAAAGATGATGTTCATAAATCCACATCAGCAGAGTTACATGTAAATTGCACAATTACTTGTTAACAACATTCAGATGATAATTCAGTATATCATAATAAGTTGCAATTGAAATAATTGAATCAAATTGTCTCAGCTAATTTTCATACAACATAAGATACAAGATATTTTATTTGGTCTTTGCAAACAAGTTACATAGAAATTTGGTTTCCTCTGGCGTTACAGTAATATTCAAGAAAATATATAATTACAAGAAATCATTACATCACGTTTATAGAAATAAATGAAATAAGGAACAAATACATGCAAAAGATAATGAAGAGACAAAAATAGTCATTGGTACATGTACTTCAAATCATGAGTTTCAAAATTAAGCCTTGGTCATAAATCAGAATAAATCAATTTAAACTAAATTGATCAAACAGCAAAATAATTAAATAGACTTTAAAGTGACCCAGTAATATTTTTGAAGGTTGATGAAAAAAAAAAAAAAAAAATTTGCATGAAATTTTACTTAAAGATAAACTTTAGTACTGGTAATGCGATTGCATTGTGAAAGAAACGGTGTGGAACCGACCAGAAAAGGTTGATCATCTAGCATATAAGAATTTGTGTGTATTGCAAGGTTCTGGAATCATCAAAATGATAAGAAATGTGGCCAAGTCTTGGTAAAGTTACAAACACTTGCACAGAAAGATGTATATGGGACTACACGAACACGTGGCGTAAAAAGCCGGCCCCCGATTTTTACGATGTTACATGCATATTTAGAATGTGAAGGCATTTGAAGAGCCATGCTTTTCAGGGAACATGTCTTAACTGATGTTCTTCCACACTTGCATAATAAGAATGAGTAATACTCACAAATTATTTTTCACCTCTTCCCAGAACTCAACCTTCTCTTTAATATTATAGTATTCCTACTGAACTAACCCTCTAATATGCAACAAATCCTGAACATTTCTCAAAACACAAAGATATTTATGGTTTTCTTTGAAGGCGTCACTGTGCCTCTTTTTAAACAGTAAATTCTCCCAACTATTTTTTGAATTTTCCCAACCATTTTTCCATGAAAAAAAGACAAAAAATAGGCTTTAAATTTTTTTTCAACCCTTACATGTCTAAAAATGGTATATATACATGTATATAGCCAATTCATTGCTTTTGTGATGATTTGCATTCACCTACAAATGCAGTTAAATTGTAATAATATAGTTGGGAAAATTAAGGAATCGATCAGATCAGTTTTTCCCAATCTTTATCATTAATAAGGTCTATTTCCACTAAAACTTTTAGATTATCTTTAGTTGCACATCTAGCATTTAAGTCACTATCTTAGCACCACTATCTCTCATCTGAACAATGTTAAAAAAGTCCCTTAAACGTACTTTAGTTGAGATGATGATTTGATTTGGCTTACCTTTGCATCTACTATGGTCTGTATTTCCTGTAGAATCTCTGGAGGAGTTATCTCACCAAGCTGTCTCCTGAGCTGTTTATAAAGATTGCTAGTCTCTTGACAGAAGCTGAATTTACACTGATAGAACCAAAGCAATAAAGCAATGCAAAATATGAATAAATCATAAAACAGGCATTTTTACATGAAAAACACAACAAAATGATATGTGTCACTGGTATAAAGAGGTGTGTGTAGGGGTGTGTCATGTGTATTCATGAGCGTGTGTGTGTTGATGCGTGAAGTAGTCTTAGCTGGAGAGGTGTTCTGGCGTGGACGTGTCTGGATGGACGAGCTCAAAACAAGCTTTTTAAATGCACTGCCTCCTTCAGTATAATCTTATTCTTTTAATGCAACCTACTTAAAATTATGATGATTGATGATTGTTAAATGTTATAATAAAATGTAATTATTTTGTATGTATTTATATATTTATTTACATGTATGCACCTTCAAATGTCCAAAAACAAATTATATGTATTTTTTCATGAATGTGTCAAAGAAATTACATGAGAGAATTAAATAACTGAAAAGGATAAATTATAAATTTCTTGCTAAAATGAGAAGTAAAAAACTGGTAAAATAAAAAGATTATAATTAGTGTATATCAAAATTAGCAGCGGGTGAATGATTAAGTGGCTTTCTGGTTGTTATTTCTGTGCAATGCCTCTTTAGCTGCCAAAGCAGACTGCTTGTCTCATTATAATAGCTAAATTTACACTTGGTGTGGATATTAGGGGGTAGAAAAAGAGAAATTGAGTGATGATATTAGAGAAATATTGTTAGGTTAATAGTAAATACAATTCATGAAGGTTCATGACTTACAGCTAATTATTACGCAACAGAATATCAGTAAGAAGATGTCACAAACATGAGATACCTCTCTTGATTCAGACATCACATTGATTTATATCAAGTGATTAAAGGGATAGTTGAGTTTTGGTATAGAGGGTGCTACACAAATTTTTCTTTTGTGAGATAATGAAAACAAACTGAGTGGCAGATTTGAAGAAGCATACATACAATTTAAATGTCAAAATCATTTTTGTTTGATCAAAATTGGTTCAGAGACAGCTGAAATCTGAAGTTTGAAGCAGCCGTTGAAAAAACGAGTTAGTGCCTTATACGTTTTATTCCAGCCAATGCTGCCAATGTTGGCTTTTTCGTGTTGATTATAATACGCACAACCAGCCGCCCTGTGTATTGTTATTATTATTAAATTAACAGTCACTGCATTTAAAAAAAAAGTGGAACTGAATTGGAATGATCGTGTTTAATCTAAATTTCACACATTTTGGGGTTTAAAATTACCTTCATAGCAATTTTAGGTCCTAAAAGGGCACTATAGAAATGTCATGAATAAGGATAAGAGCAATAACCATGCACTTTGAAAAAGCATCTATGGTCTTAAACAAGAACTCAACTGTCCCTTTACCGTAATCTTTTCTAGTAAATATCAAGAAACTAAGTCAAGTCAGATGCAAAGAACATTATTACTACAATCCCATGTAAATTATGTGATGTACTGTACATGTCACATGGTTTATTTAGCTACAGGGATTTTAGTACACAGCCCACAATGAGCCTTATAGCTCAAGTCACTCTGATATTTATTTCTTATCTACCTGGTAGAAATGTATTCCTTGAATGCTTTGAGTGCTTTAGGGCAGCTGGGCTAAAGTCAGCCAGGGTAATAATACTATAGATATATTGACTGCTATGAGAGGCATTGCTGTTTCTATAGGCTCAAGGGGCAACAGGCATCTTTAAAAAACTATTGACCAGTAGGCGGGCATGGCTAAAATCATGACTCCAATTTCGACCGATCAGATGATACTAAACAGAGGTATATATACAAATATACCAAGCTGTGAGAAAGTATTGTGGAAATTATTTATCTGAGGAGGGACCGTCAAGGTACTATTGCCAGTCTCTCCGAAGATATACAATTTCCACTATTCTTACAAACTAAATGCTTAGTATTATATGGTTTTTAATGCGCTATTAATCACTTGGACTAATGCGCATTTAATGAGACGCGCTAATTGCGCATTACTTTTGATTGAACGTGTGATGTCACAATGCTTATCTACCTGAAAATCTCAAAGAGAGCATGCGCAGTTCTGCCCAGGAAAAAATAGTAAAAGCTATTCGGAGCTATGGCAGAAATTGTTCTTAATAGTGAAATTATATTTTATCACGTGACCACAAATTGACCAATCATGTATTTAGAAAAGTCATGAATATTCATAGAAGGGATATAATACTTTCAAGTTCCTTGAGCATCCTGTGTGATGGATATATTTGCAATATAAATGTTGGTATTATTGGACTGAGTAATGGTATACTCACAGACATTAGATTCTTCACAAGTTTGACTTGCAGCCTGCTCTGTGGTTCAAGTTTCTTCAAACGACCAATGGTAATAACAAACAGAGATAGGTGATCAGACAAGTCTCCCTAAAAAGGAAAACAAAAAGATTAAGACTTTCATCAAAGGACAATCTACAACCATTGTTATAGTAATCGTTATAGTAATACCTGTACTTGGCACTACGACACTCATCCAAACTCTCTCATTCTTTCTATTTTTCTTGTTCGCCTTGGAATAGAATTGTCTAGATAGTAAGCTAATAATTACCGTTGGTGAAGGTGATGGGACAAACTATCATTTCCGAGGCGATCTGGATGTAGCTACATGTATCTTTCCGAAGCGAAGCTGAGGAAAGATAGCGTATATATTCTGATCGACGAGGAAGTGATAGTTTGCCATCGCCTGAAAACCAAAAGGTGATTATTTGCTTTATATTCCACATCTAAAAAAATTTAATTACAAAAAGAAAAGGACGTGTATGCATCTACATAAAAGATACCTAGGCCCAAATTCACACCAAAAAAGTTGAAGTTTAACCCAACCCCTCGAGGGTAAGGTGCGCGCATGTGTTTTCTTTAATTGCGCTCATTGGTAATGCGCGCCCAATTACGCCTGTTTAAGTGCGCGTTTGGATAATCTTCAGTGAAAGTGCGTTGCCCTTTGTAGATAGTACCTCTATCTTCAATGAAAGTGCGTTGCACTGTGTAGATAGTAGTACTATCTACACAGTGTAACGAACTTTTTGCTTCTCCCATCAATAATGGCCGAACTATCTTTCCTCACGTGATTTACTTTTCACCAATCGTAGAGCAAGATTCTTAGTATGTGGGATATAAATGGCGCTATAGATATGCCTATTATTATTATTATCATTAATACTGAATAGTGCCATATTCAGCATATTAAATGAAATCTGCTGAGTTTAACATATAAGTAGACAATTTATTTCAACCTATATATCCTGGCCTTCTGCCCTACAGTAATAAGCCAACAGGGGCATTCAGGGGTTTTAGAGGTTTTTGATGATATGTTCTTTTCAATGTTCTGCTTCTATTAAAACCAACTTAATATCAGGTTGGACTTCCCATTTAAGTGTTTTTGCAAGAACTGATGGATATTGGTCGTTCTTTAAACAGAGTTTATAGCAAAAAGGTACACAGGAATTCCTTCATTGCTTCCTACCCATTATAGTAGGACAGTCAAGCTGCCTTCTGATAAAGTAACAAAAACAATCATATTTGTGTAAATGGGTAATTCCATAAATCAGGGGCCCACTTTGTGACATTTTGTATTTGTGGCTCTGATTAAAGACTTAAATAGTGGAGTGAGATTATTAAGTGATTCTAGGTATGAGGGTGCAATATTATGCTTGGAAATCACTTTACAATCTCACTCCACTATTTACTGTCAAAGTCGTCCTTGTTTTCACGAAGTGACAGTAGTGAGGAAAATCGTCACGCAAAGTGAATGCAATTTTTTTCACTACCGTCACTTCGTGAAAACAGCAACGAAGTGGGTCCCTAATTTATGGAACTACCCATATACCTGGTGGAACAACAATATACATTTAGATTATACATATAGGTATTTACCTGATGTTTAGCAAGTAGCTGCATGTTGTTTCTATTGGGAGGAAGACTGGATGGCGCACCTGCCTGGATCTCAAGACCGTCAATCAGCTTCTGAAACTAAAAAAGATTTAGTATAATAATAATAATAATATAGAGTATAGTCCTCATGATTAATGTGTTCGAGGCGCAATGGAGAAGAAAAACTACAAGTACACAAAAATACCCCCAAAATGAACAACTATGTTGGAAAGTAAATCTACTGGAAAGCCGCTTTGAACAAATGAGTTTTGAGGGCAATTTAAAGCAATCTATACTTGAAATATAACAAATATCTTGTGGCAACTGATTCCATAGGTAAGGTCCAAGGTGTGTAATTGACCAATTTAGTATAAATTACAAAGAGCTCTTACATTACTTGTATCAGCACTATTAAATATACACGTGTATGGACCAAGAAGGTTGATCAAAATAGACTTGAGGTTGTATCATTACTGCCAGATAGGTATGTATTAACGGAAGTTCACCGATATATCTGATATGTTGCCCATATATATATGCACCTAATTGATTATACTATAGAAGGGACATATCTAGTGGCAGTACATGTTTCATCAAACTCTTATACAGTAAAGTAATATGGAACCCCATGTACCCTCTGTAGCACTAAGTAATTAAGGAATGAAAGTAAATACAGTTGTAGCATGAATACTGAACAAGTCATTAGGCGCTTTAAACACAATTCTATGTAGCCTAATGCAGATTTTTATCATGAAATACAATTATATCAATTATCCATTGTTTCAGCTTTCACTTTTAAGAAATAGTGGCATATCTCTTGATTGTGTAACAAAGGTACAACTGTACAAAGTCCTGGTGTTGTCTATTCTGTTATATGGTGCAGAAACATGGACATTAAAGAAGGTCGATGAAAATAGACTCCACACTTTTGAGATGGCATGCCTCGGGAGAATCATGGGTGTGACCAGACTTGACAGAATAAGAAACACACACATACGAACACAACACAAACTTAACATGTAAGAAACCATCATCGACAGGGTTGCCACAAAAAGACCGAGATACTTCAGACATATCAACAGAATGAATCGAAAGAGATTCCCCACATCCTTCTCAACGGAAATGTACATGGCAAACGTCCAATGGGAAGACCAGCTAATAGATGGACAGACTGCATCAAGGCGGACTGCAACAACAGACAAGTTGACTCCCTGACTAAAGCCACTAGGCTAACAGAAGACAGGAAGGTGTGGCAAGCCATAGTGAAACAGAAGCCATCATACATCCCAGTGATGGTGTGGACGGCTTAAGTGAAGTAAGTCAAGTGTATGGACCACTTACAAATAATTAATGATATTACCAGGGTACACAGAATTTTACACAATGATTAACGATTAAAATTATCAACTATTGAAAAGAAATGTCCAAAGGTTCTGTAGAAAAGAACCATAACAGGGCGATGCCTTTGCTAGAACACAGTCCTAGATAGGGCTTATGACTGTGTGACTTTACTAGTTCAGTGATTAAAACACTCTCTTACCTCAGGAATACTTGAATCAATCTTTGCTTGTATCTTGATGATTTCTGTATAGATGTCTACTAGCTGCTGTAGGTAGATGTTCATCATGGCCCCTTCATCTGTCACTCTTTGGTAGTCTTCTACTTGAATGGCTTCAAGCTGTTCCTTACATGGATGGCATAACCGTACATAAAGACTGTCATCAGGTTCAACTTCTGGGCTCTATGTTAAAGATAAAGTTGAGTTCTTGTTATGCGATTACATTGTGAAAGAAACGTTGTGGAATCAATCAGAAAAGGTTGATCATCTAGCATAACTATTGGTGTACTGCAAGGTTCTGGAATTATCAAAATGATAAGAAATTTGGTCCAATCTTGGTAAGTTACAAGCACTGTACAAAGAAAGATGTATATGGGACTACGCGACACATGCGCGATATCTATCAGGTCCAAATAGATATAATAATTTACCAAATATATCAGTTAGTAGGCGGTTTCTCGCCAAAATTTGTATGATCACGTATTAGTCAAAAAAGTGATAAGAGCTTCCATTTCATTTTTAAGAGGGGGGGGGGGGGGGGGAGGGCGTTTTCAAAACTGGTCTTTACCTTTAACTCTTCATCAAATACAAATCAATCCAATGTAGATACTGTAAAACCTGGCTCTTGTATCATCTTCAATCTATCAAACAAATGTTATCCTCTGATATATTAAAAATTGGTTTTATGCCGATGACAGGAAAAGTTTAATGATTTAATCCTGGATGTATCTCGACCAAAACAATCTCTTTCAAACATAATCTTATACAATCTAATATACATATTTTTAGAATCTGTTTATTAGATAAGGACTAATCTTGAAAAACTCAAATTTCTCCCAAAAGTGGACAAAGAGGTCTTTTAAAGCCATAGTCCAATCCCATGTAATCCAGTCTTACTTTTCTCATAAATAGAGAAGTAGAACTAAGCTTCTTACCCCTATGACTCTGATTATAGCCCAGCGTGGTTCTGAGCCTAGTTCAGCCCGGTCTGATTTATCTGGTCTATAAAGGAGTAGATCTTTGGAGGATTGAGTCTTGCAGACAAGTTTTCCACAGATCCGACAATTCAACTTGCTTTCCAGCTTCCCATAAGGGCGGTTACAGCACTGGCAGCTGCTCCCTTCACTCTGTACGGATAATAAGAATAGTCAACAAAACATGTTTTATTGATTGGCAGAGTTGATACACTTTATTCAAAAAATGGATGACCACTCTTTCCTCATTCTTAGATCCATATATCCCATCAAATTGGCTCTTGAATTTACACATATTCCATAAATAGGTCAATGTTAATTATTTCTTCATGAGTGACACCAATACCGAGGAGGCGCTGCGATAGCTCAGTTGGTCGAGCAGTGGTCTTGTAATCCAGTGAACCGGGTTAGAAACCAAGTCGATGCGCTAGTGCCCTTTGGTACGGCATTAATCCTTGTCTCTTGGAGAGGACCTAAAGCCGTTGGTCTACTGGTTGCTTATTAACAAGCATTTATGCTTTCTTAGCAGTCAGGTAAAATAACCACCACTACACATCTTCTCATAAATGTTATTACAGCTTTACTTGATGAAGAATATGTTACATCATAACTCTTAGAAAGAGTCTACTTACCACCCATGTTGGGGGCTTCTGCCAGTCAGGTACACCATGACTCACGACCTTTGACACGCTGCGTTTGAACAGACTGAATGGATTCTTAGTTTGTGATCCTACTCCATTAGCATCTGATGATGCATCAGCTGACTGGGGTGTGGCAGTGCTAGATGAGTGATTCCTCTGGAAACCTTCAACAAGATTCTTACAAACTCGTCTCATGACTGACCTGTAGATTGTAAAATCCATAACAAAATTGACCATGAGTTCATCACACTTTTTTGCCTGAAGAACAAGGTTTTCAATACTAAATAATGTAATCCTGGGGGATGTTTCACAAGGATCCCAAGTTGAACTTATCTCTAAGTTGGACTTAAAAATTATGGAGAGCCGTTAGCATCTATGAAAATATTTTGAAAAAAATATTTTAAAAGGCATAAAATGTTGATTCAAATCATTCATATTTTCGATTATCAAGAAAATTTCATGTTCTTGAAGTGGAATTCATAGAAAGTCAGAAAATACTTGAATTTTTGCTCTTGAATATATTTCATTTTTAGACAACAAATGGCTTTCCATAATTCCATAACTCTGTAAGAGTGAACATTTTTATTTACATTTACTCTTTTTTGTGATAAAAAGGAAACTATTCCTTTCTTAAAGGTAAAGACCAGTTATGGTCATGCGATTGCGTTGTGAAAGAAACGTGGAATCGATCAGAAAAGGTTGATCATCTAGCATCTAGCATCTGCAAGGTTCTGGAATCATCAAAATGATAAGAAATTTGGCCCATTCTTCATAAAGTTACAAGCACTATACACAGAAAGATGTATATGGGACTACCCTATATCTCTCACAGACCATGAGAGAAACAAATTTACCAAATATATGAATTGATAGGCGGTTTCCCGGCAAATTTTTTATCATCATGTATTAGTCAAAACATATTCTTTCACATGATTGGTAATGAGAGCTTCCATTTCCTTTTTTGACATTGGGGCGTTTCCAATACTGGTCTTTACCTTTAACCTGTTGACTACTTAATTTTCTCATCCCCATAGGATAAATACAGAAGCCTCCAGGTTCAAGTAGTCAATGAGTTATAGAGCATTTCATTCTCATAAAATTCTAAAAAAAGTTTCTCTACATTAAAATATTAGACTATTATCATTTTTTAAAGGATATTTGTGTCTTTGTAATTATTTGAAGAAAAAAAAGGGAAATTGTGTGAGACTAGACAATGAAGTACGTGACTAACTAGCATTTATGCAGACTAAAATGATTCCACATGTTTTACTGATTATCCCTGTCACCCCACGCTAGCCCACAAATACACTGTACTCACAAGCAATAATAATTGTTCACATACTAATTTTTACCCATGACTGTTTTTGATTCATGGAATCTCCCATTCATTTACACATTTAAAGATGAAGTTGAGTTCTGGTCAAGCGATTGCATTGTGAAAGAAAAAGTGTGGAATGGATCAGAAAAAGTTGAAGCGGTGTGGAATCGACCAGAAAAGGTTGATCATCTAGCATATAAGAATTTGTGTGTATTGAAAGGTTCTGGAATCATCAAAATGACAAGAAATTTGGCCAAGTCTTGGTAAAGTTACAAACACTGTACACAGAAAGATGTATATGGGACTACACAAACACGTGGCATAAAAATCCTACCCTGGAGTTTTACGATGTTACATGACATATTTAGAATATGAAGGCATTTGAAAAGCCATGCTTTACAGGGAACATGTCTTATCTGATGTTCTTCAACACTTACTAATAAGAATGATAACGCTCACAAAATATTTTTCACCTCTTCCCAGAACTCAACCTTCTCATTAAGAATATGTACATAATTAAAAACAGTTACGATTGGTTAAACAAGGCAAACCTGGTAAGTTTGGAATCGTCTCGTTTCTGACGAGCAGCACGGAATAACTGAAGGTCATACGTCCATCTCCTTGAGTGACCAATCTCTTGTTCTTTGGCATCAAAACATTTCTCACAAACCTGTAAAGAAAGTTCAGTGAAACTGTGTTTTAGTACTGAAAACTGATGTACAAACAAGACAGATAACCCTGCCCTTTTTCTCTACCTTTTGGTGGATGTGGGTCTCTATCTGGATCCCATTTGTCTCATATTCTTCTTGGCTTAATACGGGGGCTGCCTGGATCCGATAGGAAACTAGTTAAACAAAGATTCTTTGTCAGATTGAATGTTACCTGCCAGCCAATAAAACAAGGTATCAACATTAATAATCATATTCCACTTTTATATAGCGCCCAATACATCGATACAACGATGTGTCTACCAGTAAACGCTTTACCGATATATTACCCCGGTCATCGGATTCAGGCTTCCCCCGCACACAATGTATGCACATTCTCCACTTCCTGGGGAGCATTCCGGCCAGTCGCCATTTTACAAGTGCACAATTGATCATCCAACCACATTAACTTTTGCATCCTTCCATTTAAAGCTAAAGACCAGTAATGGAAACGCCCCAATTTCAAAAAATGAAATGGAAGCTCTTTATTACCAATCATGTGAAAGAATATGTTTTGACTAATACATGATGATAACATTTTTGCCGGGAAACCGCCTACTAATTGATATATTTGGTAAATAAGTTTATCTATTGGACTGTGAGAGATAAACGCACGTGTCACGCACGTTGCGTAGTCCCATATACATCTCTCTGTGTACAGTGCTTGTAACTTTAAAGGTAAAGACCAGTAATGGTCATGTGATTGCATTGTGAAAGAAACGTTGTGGAATCGATCAGAAAGGTTGATCATCTAGCATCTAGCATCTGCAAGGTTCTGGAATCATCAAAATGATAAGAAATTTGGCCCATTCTTCGTAAAGTTACAAGCACTATACACAGAAAGATGTATATGGGACTACCCTATCTCTCTCACCAGACCATGAGAGAGATAAATTTACCAAATATATGAATTAGTAGGCAGTTTCCCGGCAAATTTTTTATCATCATGTATTAGTCAAAACATATTCTTTCACATGATTGGTAATGAGAGCTTCCATTTCATTTTTTGAAATTGGGGCGTTGCCAATACTGGTCTTTACCTTTAAGAAGACTGGGCCAAATTTCTTATCATTTTGATGATTGCAGAACCTTGCAGTACACACCAATACTAATATGCTAGATGATCAACCTTTTCTGATCAATTCCACAACGTTTCTTTCACAATGCAATCGCATGACCATAACTGGTCTTTATCTTTAACACCTGGATGGAGAGTGGTAAATGTAGATTAACGTCTTACACTCTTACCAAAAAAATTAGTGCTGTGGCAGGACTCAAAGTCAGTGAATTATCTACTAAACCACAACACCTCTACATTTAGTCATATGATTTACATTTTCACATGCACTCAAATCTTCCATCAAACTATTTTTGTACTAGCTTTTGAAATTTGGAGACCATAACATACATATACAAATTTTCTTGGCCATAGCAATTCAAGTAAATTCCTGCTAAAGGAGTATGAAAATGTGATTTATATTGAATGAATTAAAATTGCACTGTGGGTACCTAGCATACAATGTGCAATTCCACAAGGGGTAAGACCCTCGGACTTGAGGCTTAAATTCACTTAATAATAATTGTTGGATATTTCAAAATACCAGTACTCTTAATTTCTGTCAGGTATCTGTAAGAACACCATATTACTTGGGTCAAGCTCGCTATCCATAAGGACCATCATTCATAAGGACCGCTATCCATAACACGTCACTAAATGAATAGCTGTCTTTTCTAAATAGCGGTCATTATAGTGAGCAGACCCCTATAACTTGGCCTTAGCAGGGTAACAAAAAAACACTGAAAAATACTGATAACATAATAATAGGAAAAGTAAAACTTAGCATCATTTGATGGAGCCCATTCATATCTGCCACTCCTGGGGAATGTTTCAAAAAGACTAATATCAATTGAAGTTGGACTTGAACTATGGAAAGCGATTTATGCCCTACAAAAGTCTTGAACCAGATGTAAAATTAGAGGAAAAAACCCTAGAAATTATGATCATTTGATAATGGTTTTTCATTGAGTAATAATCTATCAAAAATGTGAATTCTGTAGATTTGTGATGTCCCTTGAGAGACCAATGGTGAGAGCAACCAGTGGCATGAATGGTCTGTCATAGTTCATGTCCAACTTAAGTCGATCTTAGTCTTTGTGAAAGACATATCCATAAAAAATAGCTGCAACATTTGTGGCTATTTTATGGAAAGGAGGTATAGAGTATTCAAAAATGATGAACGTGATTATGATAGTATCTTACCTTGCACATCCATCCGTTAGGATCATACTCGGCATTGGGTGAAAGCCGCCTCTTGAATTGCAGACATTTGGCACAGAATATAAGACCACATCTGAAATAAAAGAAGTATGAAAAGAATGTACACCAGGGACCCGTTTTTACAATGAAAAATGAAAAAAAAATCAGTGACAAATCAGAAGCAAAGGATTTCACTAGCAAAAACAGTCACTTGTCACTGATGACAAGATTTGTGAAAATGGGCCTAGCGGGTAGGAGGATGGAAACGAGCTATATAAAGAACTTGATATACCATATAAAATTAATGATTTCACACCAGTATCAATAATTACATGAGGGTTAAATGTAACGTTATTGATTACATTCAGAAGCAAATTAAATGCTTTAAGAATTAGATGGTTCCAAATATTGTGCCAGAGAAGAAAATTTTAATGAAGCATGTAATCAAAATTGTATCTGTTTGGAGCAAGAAAGGTGTTAACTCTGTGTAAAATGTTTCTTTTGAAAAAAATAGCTACACGAAGAAGTTCATGTAAGAGTAATAATAATAATGTACAATATAAAATTAATGATTACACGCCAGTATCAATAATTACATGAGGGTTAAATGCAATCCTGTTTATTACATTCGGAAGCAAATTAAATGCTTTAAGAATTAGGTGTTTCCAAATATTGTGCCAGAGAACAAAATTTTAATGAAGCATGTAATCAAAATTGTATCTGTTAGGAGCAAGAAAGGTGTTAACTCAGCTCCGTGTAAAATATACCTTAGCCAGCCAGCTTTCATCTTATAAATACATATTTCATCAAAGCAACTTACTTCCTGCAGTGATGTTTAGACATTGCCCATAGAGGGCGCTTGCACGTCTTGTTGCTGCAATTATTACAATCGGAATTCTGCACCCAATGACTCCTTGATACAGCTAGAGGAAGATAAAACATACAAGTCTTAAAATGGGTTTAATTCACAGGAAAACCTTTGAAACAAGTAACCGTCTATATCGTGTTTCTTAACCAAACATCCTTTGTATCAAAAGACAATATGGACACTATAAATGAACATCATTCAATACCAGATAACATTGTGACAAAGTTCTGTAATCAAAGTGAATACAGGTATGCTAAGCTTTGAATAAATGCAGGACAAAGAAACAACACTGTACATTTGTAATCTTGTAATATCTTTGGGAATTCCTCAGACTGATTAAATACTGACAACATTTTGTTAGTTAAAGTGATTTAATCACACCAAATGTAAAGTGTTAAAAGCGGGACTGCACTACTTGTAGCTACAGGGTACTTGCGCCCTTTGTTATAGCAACTGTTCCCCTTTTTCTTATAAATCTTATGTTAATTGAGAGCTGATTTGATGAGATAGCCAACTGTCAGTGACCATGCAGGGAGGTATAATCCCTCCTGGCTAAACTAGTGCAGTCTGGCTTTAAATTAAATGCAATATTTACCCTCTTGCAGTGATTACATGAAAATGGCTAGTATTCATAGAAAAGTGCATATGAAGTGCCATGAAGTTCACTGACCTGTAGTAGGATCTGACTGTTCTTCCAGGTTCTGCGTCCCTGCATCAAAACTTTGTTGAAACTGCTTCAATTCATTCTGGACGAGATGCCACTCTTGCTTGACCTCTGCTCTTTGGTTTGATGACCCCTGCTGACCCCTTATATACGGCCCACCAAGGCGCCATCTCTTCTTACCGTCACCTGATGCACCCTTGTTGAACATGTCTTTAATATCTGTCGACAAGATTTCACATTATTAAATTAGAAACAAAATCCCAAAAGATATAATGAATGTTTATGTATAAAACGTCATTGTTTCAACTCATGAAAATATTCGCGCTATCGAACAAATGAAAAACATTCATTACATGTATTTGTTTTATACAACATCAATCAGTTTAACAGCACAAAAAAATGGTGTTGATACCGGCCGCCAGGTCGTCTGCTTGTGAATGTGTATGCATCAAATCATGCTTCTTCTTCTTCTTCTTCTTCAAGATAATCTGCCTCCTTCAATACTGAAGATTCTTGCAGATGCCGTATACTCGGCCTGATTGGGGTGTGCAGGTGGACCATTACACCGGGGTTTCCCCCTTCTCTTATACGAATAGTGCAATGGGTTCTTAACGTGCAAGGGTGGTGACTCTCCTGTACACGGGGCCTCCATTTAACGTCCTATCCGAGGGACGGAGTGTTTTCCACTTGACATAACCTGCGTCTATGAACAAGGGAAGGGGCACGTTCACACACAACGCAGACTTCAGTCATCCGCCTGGATGGGAGTCGAACCCGGGATCTTTGGTTCGACAGGCAGACGCTTTGCCGACTGAGCCAACTCGCCTCCTTATGAGGAGTGCAACGTCACAACAAATGCAAACAATACAGATATAACCAAAAATGAATGCTGAATATAATTTAAAAAAAACAAGAAAGGTCTTGAAGAAGATGTCTTATCATCTTTATCTTCAAAGAGCTCAGGGCCGATTGCATAATTAGGAGTCAATCTGAGTCCCACTCAAAAGTGTTGTAGACTTACCAGCGCGCGCGGGCTGTCCGATGACGGCGAGCAGCAGGGCAGGGTGCAGGCTAGCCAGGCGGTAGCTACAGGCAGTGAGATGGCCCGTGTAGAGATGCCTGTTGAATTGAAGTTGCCGAATACTTGTTTGAACTGTTTTATAGGTTAACCGAGTCAATCTCCAGAGGTGAACGATGCCATTGTCGTCGCCATTAATGTAGTATACCGAATCAATTAATTCACATTTGTAGTACTGTACAGCAACTAGGCCTATGGTTTATGTCAATAGATATCAATCTAAACCCACTTAGCATGCTTATGCCTATCATGTTTATTAATAAACGTGAAGCAATGGCAAGCATCTGTATGGAACGCCAAATGTGTTTGTGTTACAACACTAACACAGAGAGAAGATGAAGCAGGCCATTGAACAGCTAGAAGACAAATACTCCATTTCATTTTCGACACCCTCCCCCATACCCCCCCCCCCACAGCTGCCAGGATATTGGTGGTAAAATTACGCTGCTGTCGGGGAAAATGAGAGGTAAAGGGAAAGAAAAGAAAAGGAAAAGAAAAGAAAAGAAAAGGAAAAGAAAAGAAAGAGGAGAGCAGAAAGAAAAGAAAGAGAAAAAGAAAAGAAAAAAGAAACAAACAAAAGAAACGGGGGATGAGTGAGAGGAGAGATAAGGGAGTAAGATAGAGCCCGAGAGAAGAGACAGTGGCGGATCCAGGGGGGGGGGCTACCCCCTTGAGAAAAAAATCATGTAAAATCACGTGATTTTTACCTTTTTTGGGGTTGGGCAAATTGAAATTTTTTTGAGGATCAAAAAAAAAAAATGTGCTCACTACCCCCCCCCCCCCTCCCCCCTTCATCCTCCCCCCCCCCCCCCCCCCCCCACTGAGCGAATTTTTGGCCGGCGCGTTTTTCAAATTTTCGGGAGCAAAAAAAAATTCAAAAAATTCAAAAAAATTCAAAAAAAAAAAAAAATCCGCCAGTGATTTTACCTAATTTTACTCGACTGAGCGACTTTTCGGCCGGCGCGATTTTCAAATTTTCGGGAGCAAAAAAAAAAAAAAGTTGGGCCCCCTCCCCTAAGAAATCCTGGATCCGCGCCTGAGAAGAGGGGTGGCCGGGGAGGGGTACGTGCGCAACCCCCACCTGTCAGGATATTGTCGATACAATTGCGCTGCTGTCGGTAAAAATGAGAAAAGAGGGAGGGGAAAATGAGAGGGAAAGGGAAAGAAACGAAAAAAAGAAAAAAGAAAAGGAGAAGAAAGGAAAGACTGAGAAAAAGGGGGAGGGGAAACATGAGAGAGACTAACTAGGGGCACTTACTAGATATTAAAAATGGCACTTATGAGAATGGAAAATGGACACTTATTGCAAAGGAAATGGGAACTTGTCGAAGGAAAAGGGACACTTTCACAAATTGATAGGGGAACTCGTCAAAGTAAAAGGGGCACTATTCCTATGTAAAAGGGGGCACTTCTTAAAAAGTTAAAGGGGCACTTTTCCTATGTAAAAAGGGGCACTTTTCGGGTGCTTGAAAAAGTGGGGGCACTGTACCCCCCCCCCCCCCCACGGAGGGCCGCCTCTGATCTGTATGTATGTATGTATGTCAATCAGAAATTTAAAGTCGGTGGGCCGGCAAAAATTTTCCCCATACGAACTATAACTTTTTATCGGACAAAGAAACATTTTTGAAAATTCAGACAATGATTAAGTCTTCTTTCTCTAATAATTCAATGAAACGTTAAAACTTCCACGCTTTGCGCGGGTGGGGGAAACTGACTTCAGAAAGGCTTAAGAGTCAAGAACGGCATACAACGAATCGTATTCTTTCTCTAATTGTAATTCATTACCAGGTCCCTCAGAGAGGACCTAATTAAGCCGTCGGCCGTCTGGTTGCTTACTTACAAGCATTTATGCTTTCTTAGCAGTCAGATAAAAAAAAAATAACAACCAACCAACCAATTGTAAATCGGAAGACGCTTACAGGCACAAATCTACGCTAAGTCTATATGCTGATTGGGCTACCCTTCGCGCGGGAGGGGGGGGGGGGGGGGAAGCTGAATTCACACGAGGATTAAAGGTAATGCAAAGTGTTGGTTTGGGGTCATGAATTTGGTTCAAATAAACATATTGGAAGCATATGCGATTTTACAATATTCAATAATCGTGGTCGCGGTTGAAATCGAGTTTAAAGTGATGATATTGTAAATATTAAACTCTTTATAATATAAAGCTCCCTTTCAAGACTGATATTACTTTAGCCGCCGCTTAAAGAGAAGGTTGAGTTCTGGGTAGAGGTGAAAAATAATTTGTGAACTTTATCATTCGTATTATGCAAGTGTGGAAGAACATCAGATAAGACATGTTCCCTGAAAAGCATGGCTCTTCAAATGCCTTCGTATTCTAAATATGTCATGTAACATCGTAAAAATCCAGGGTAGGATTTTTACGCCACGTGTTCGTGTATACATCTTTCTGTGTACAGTGATTGTAACTTTGCCAAGACTTGGCCAAATTTCTTATCATTTTGATGATTCCAGGGCCCGTATTCAATAAACTTCTAAGACATTTTTCTTAAGTCTAAGAAAATGTCTAAGAATTTGTCTAGGTTAAGAAAGTTGCCTTAGCCGTATTCTAAACACGTAAAGCAGTTTGTCTTAGCCAAGACGAAAGATAAGACAAATTCTTAGACCCGATGACGTCATATGGGAAAGTTGATGTGGTCGACTCGAGCGAATTAATTGCAACTCGATTTGCCTATGTAATTTGCGTGTTAAAATAAAAATCGCACCGCACGAAAATTATACACTAACATGTATGGGAGAGCGTAAGGGAGGAACGATGCTCACATAATTATTTCGGGATTGACCAACTGACACTAAAACAGTCTAGTCAAGACCACCTGAGGCTAGATCTAACATCCACTGTAGGCTTTTTTTTAATACTTTTCTGTCAAACAACTCCGAGGAGCCCAACCGGGCTTACTTATTATGTCGCAGCCGCAGGTCTGTGAGTATGAAGGGAGCGCCGTCGCTAGCCGGCCGACCAGCGCTAGCTAGCATTGGATTTGGAGCTACCCTTTCATTGTTTTACATCGTCTACTGTTATGATGGCCTAAAATTAATCAAATGGCTAAATGTAACCTTTATCAGACTCATACTATAACAAATTTTGTCTCACCTAATATTATGCCGATTGCACATTATTCCCTGTTTCCATACTTTAGCGCCAAAGACTAATAAAGTAAGAGACGGTTTCTTTATATACGACAGCCATGTCATGATTTAGTGTTATGCATGCTACTACTCGTTTAGTTGTGTACAAACAAACATACTACTAGTACAAGTACAAAGAGCCTATGGCGCTCCTGCGCGCTGCGCCGTCGACGCTGTATATTACGCGAAGCTTACGTTGTATAGGTCAACTGCATGATAACCTGCGCTCGCGCTGCGCGCGCTGCATGCATTGTTTTTATTCCATTTGATCGAAACCCGAAGCGGTTGCTTGCAGCATCACTGAGCTGCCGGTGCCAAAGCCCCATTTAAGCATCCTCGTAGTATGCTTAAATATAGGGTAGATTTCTTACTTATCTTAGATATCTCGATTGTATTAGAATACGACATGCTACTTAAGTCCTTTTTCTTAGATAAAATCTAAGAATCCTTCTTAATCTTAAGGCAAATTTCTTAAGTCCCCATTGCTGTTATAGAATACGATTTTTGGCTAAGATTTTTTCTTAGCCAAAATTTAAGAAAAAGTACTTAGATTTCAAGCTTAAGAAGTTTATTGAATACGGGCCCAGAACCTTGCAATACACACAAATTTTTATATGCTAGCTAGATGATCAACCTTTTCTGGTCGATTCCACACCGGCCGTTTCTTCAATTCAATTCAATTTCGGTTTATTAATATCAACATATACAATGTACAATGCAGTACAATTGGTCCAGGGACCAATAATGCAATGTTTACATAAAATGTGCATAATTAAAAACAGGAATGATCATATAAATGTATAATAAAAATGATAAAAGATAAAGTTAGAATTATTGTTCATACCTAAAGTTATATACATATGCAATCGCATGACCAGAACTCAACTTCATCTTTAATCAATGTTTCTTGACTACAATCGATCGATTTGCTTTTCCCGTTTGGAAATTACATATCAGAACAGTATATTCTGAGATTTTCATGGTCGCTACCATGTAATGGCCTCAGGCGATATTTGAAATATTTTAATTTACCGGGAGCACCGGTCAACTTTTATTATTCAAATTTTTCGAAAGCAGAAGTGTTTTAGGGGCTAAATTTTCTAGTGCTTATAATACATCCACAGGGGCATCCAAATATATCAACCTTTTGAAGAATTACTATCCATCCAATTTTCAAAATTACCTTTATAAGAGTCGAGAACGGTACAAGGAATCGTCTTTTTACTTTCTCTCTTTCTCTATTAGTTTCATGAAACATCAAAGCTTCCGAGGGGGAAAACTGAATTCAGACAATGATTTAGAGTCGAGAACGGTACAACGAATCGTCTTCTTAATTTCTGTATTAGTTAATGAAACTTCAAAGCTTCTGCGCTTCGCGCGGGAGGGGAAAACTCCCCCTCCCTGCACCCACCATTTGCGCGCTCTGTAAATCATTCGCACGCTTTGTATGCTCACTTACCGCCCCTCTAAAATCAAATCTTAGCTATACGCGCTTGCTATAATACTTGTATTTTCTCAAAGTTTCACCTTAATATAATATCAGCAAAAGAAAAAAGAAAAAAGGGGCACTGGCGCCGCACTCTTTCCAATCACGCATCGTCGAATGATTGCTCCAAAAGGTTGCACAATTAAATATATATAGCTTGCTGATTTATCTTGACGTAATAAACCGTATATCTATGTGGTCTAGGTAAATTACCATGTGCGCATACGCTGATACGCAAGTAGACCTACCAGATAGTTTGGAGGAAAAATAATTTAGCCCCCGGCCCCGGGTTTATAGGGTTAAATTTGTAGACATTGGGACATTGGCATTAATATAAATTATTTGTCTGTAATTGGTGGCTAGATTTTTTGGTAATCGGTGGCCTCTACAATCCCCCCCCCCCCCCCCCCTCGTACTGAAAAGGTCGAGCCGACGCCCCTGTGCCGTATCACTATTCTCCTTAAACGGATTTTTCTTAATAGTCCTTACGGGTCGCCAACTCGTAGTCAATCGCAAGCATCCGTAAATACCTCGCAGGCACTCTTAAGGATCCGTGAAATTA